TGAAAGTTTCATTAAATCCCGTTCAGTAAATAGACGTTAACGAATTAACAAAATCTTTGGCTAATTCGCGAACACACGTGCAGCAGCCTCAAAAGTTTTCACATACGTTTCATTTTTGCTACTATGTCTTCGAACAGGGGACTGGTGGTATTGTTAATGGCGAGGTGCATCGCCAAGAGAGGAAGCTCTTGGGTTCGCATTCGATTACATTCCATAAATTCATTAAATTGAAGTGAAATATTTTTATACTCATTCACGAAAGTGAATTAGTATATTGGTTTTGTACAATGGGCGTCTTGTCCGACCGCCTGTCCGTATGAACGCAACTTTTTTTCCGGGCTATTGAAGCTAGAGACTTGAAATTTGGAACACATATATACATATATACTCGTGTATATTTCCGATTTATAGTGTTAAAATTTTCCTGATCCGCCCTCTAGAGGCGTGGCAAATCGGAAAATACATTTTCCGATATACCAGAAATCATACTAGTTGAAGACCTAGAAAGCTGAAACTTGGAATGTAGCTACGCATTGACCACTTAAGATCACGAGCTATGGCGGATATATCTACGCCCATTGGGGGCGTGGCAAATCGGATGAAACTGTATCTTCCAGTGTTTTAAAGCTATAACGATGCCCCAAAATAATTTTTACGCCTCTTTAGTAGTACCCTTTAGTACCCTGTATTTTCACATATTTTGAGCGTAACCATTCAAATTTTGCAGTTAGGGTACCGTACGCTCGTTTTAAAAACTGACCAAAAATGAGGTGTCTAAATTGGGAAAAATCGCGTTTGCTACAGTATTAGAGCTAAACTTAGCTGATATAGTGCTGATGGGATGTGAATGAGTATTCCGCTGTCAGTAACGCCCGACTGCAACGTTCTTATTAGCAATTTATATGCAACTACATTCCTATATCTAACAGTAATCAAATGGTTGGAGATAGTGCATATGCGTTGAGCTCCAATCCCGCGGCCGTTTTAATTTTTTTAATTTTCTTCTTATGTCTCTAGTAACTTCATCATTATGGAATTTATTATTTTTGTATTAGCAAACACATGCATGTGTATATATGCACTAGAGAGCCAGAAAAACGGTGTGTGAGTTGGTAATACATAGAAGGTAAGCCGAAAACGGTTGGAGCGAAACAGTGCTCTTGTGTGTGAGCGTGCTTGTCCTCAAAACATATTCTTAATGTGCATCAACGCTTTCACAGCCTTCCCAAAAGTTTATGAAAACGCAAACATTTTCCATGAACATGGCAAACCCTTCATTCAGAAGCGCCCGCATCGCTTTGATATTATCGTGCCTTGGCCCTTGCTCGGGCCACAAGCGACCGAGCCGAGCAAATACGAAGTAGAAAATGCAAGATTCTAATCATTCAGCATTTCTTTTATGCATCCATCCGCAAGAACGCATAAGCACGCGCTCTGATAACGGCGCTTGGGCTACGCTGCAGTGTGGGCAATACTAGCAACTATCTTCATAAAACTTTCAGTATATAATCAAAATGTTCAAATGTTCAATTAAGCTGAAAAAAAAAATCAACTTTTCTCGATAAGTTATCGAAAAAAATATGATAAACTTGTACTGCCGTATGGTATACAGGAGTATGCATGCCATTCAAGTAATTAGCTCTTATAACTTCTGAGATCTTGGCGCTCATACGCACGGACGGACAGAGCTCTATCGACTCAGATTGTCGCCTTGATCAAGAATATATATACTTTATGGGGTCTGCGATGATTCCTTTTGCCTGTTACATAATTTTCACAAAATCATTATACCCTGATTTCCCATTTTCAATGGGTTCAGAGTATAAATAAAATATTTAACCATTTAATTCCCATAGTAAGTTCTTACTGCAAACCTGCGTGCTTATACGTGCGGATGTATAATTGTGAATGGATGTACGTATATGTGGTTATGTTTTTTCTTGTGTATGCAGAAAAGAAGCGAAAAATTATTGAAATATCAGTTCGTCGAAGAGTTCAGGGGATCCCGTACTTGGTTGTATGTAAATTTTAACATTTCGAATGTTTTGAGGTTCACATTTAACAAAATATTGTAATGCTTTCTTAAACTTTGTTAAATTTAACGAAAGCGGTTCGAAACACGAGCTTTATTCGTAGTTAGTTGATGGAAATTCTATTTAAGAGATATATTTAATTGTTTCCTAACCTCATAATTTAACCTGAGAGACATTGTAACATTTTTGTTCAACTTCCGCTCGAACTATATATTTAGTCTGCAAAATTTAACAGTTTGTTGGTTATCACTTACCTTATTTCCGCCTATAGCTTTATCACACTGAAACAAACATGTATATATATATATATGTATAAAATAATAATACATTTTCGCTTAGAGTAAATACATACGATATTAGTTTCTTTTTTGCTGATAGTGCAGTGATTTGAAACCTGACCAGAAAATACGGTAAAAGTAATAAAATCATATATGTATATTAAATTGTTAGACTACTTACATCAGTAAAACTACCGTTTGGATCAGTATCCTTGTTAAGTAAAATACTAGCTGCTAAGACCTTTGCTGTTTCAATTGCATAGTCTTCAATTTCTAACTTTAAGCCTTCTGCGACAGTTTCTGCATTGGCATCAGTTTCGCTACTTTCTACATTTTTCAGCTTCTGTTCAAAAGGAACATGTTAGAACATTTTTAATCTTTTGCTGGATTGATAACTTACGATAGCTTTTGAGCAGGATGATAACATAGTGCTTAGACGATTGTTCATAGGGGAGGCATCAGTTGATTTTGTGTCCTTCATGTTAATGTATTCTGCTACATCACTTTTTGGTTGGCTATCATTGTTTATGGTATCTTGTGAAGTACCCCCGGAACTATTTTCATTTCTATTGTCACTTAGCTCTATGTGCGGTACGACTGCGCCAGTAGATAACTTTTCAATGTGCTCCTCCAGAATGCAGCTAACAGTGACAGTATTAACGGTTCCTGCGACAGGCGTATTGCTTATGTTCATTACAGAGTTATTTGATTGGATTACATGGTTCAAGTGTTGACTACTACTAATTTGATTTTCCTTGCTGGCAAGCTTTTCTTGTTGCTGTCCATATGGATCTCCTACCCACTTTACAGCTTCGGTATCGGGTATACTTGACATTGGCATATTGTAGATCCTATTGCTATTGTTATTTGTTGAATTATTGTTAGTGCTGATGGTGTTAGCCGTAGCCACAATTGTACCTCCACTACCACTACCAACATTAACACTGCGATGTTGGTGGTGATTAGATTCTTTTAAATTATTGTTGCTTGCGCTTGATAAATTGGAAGAATTTGTGGTACGCAATGGGTGAGGCTGGCCAGTATCAATAATCTTTGGCATTTTCATTTCCTCTATGCTATATGTGCACGTAAGTTCCTCTAAAGCCGAAAGTCGCTTTTCCTTACGCTTTTGTCCCAGCTTAATGGCAAACTATTTACAAATATTAATATTAGAAAAATTTTAAAAATGATAAAAAAAAAATCAGCAAACAGTATATATTTCTTACCTCTAGATCTTCATACGTTTTGAACTCTAATATGGCAAATCCGTCAATAATCTCCTCCTCTAGGACAGGAGACCTAGGCAGTTTGCGACGAACTGGAGGTGGCGGTCTTGGTGGAGGCTTATCACGTGGAAGAAGTAATGTTGATGACGACGATGTTGAAAGAAGATCTTCGTCTAGTGATTCACCTTCGCTATCACTTGGAGTGGCCATCAGACCAGAATTGCATTCAGGAGAATGTGGTGGATTCAATAGCAATGATGCAATGCTGTCCGTAGGTGGTAGCAAATTGTTGCTACCGTTACTACTGCTAGTAAAGTTGCCATTGGAGTTATTGCTATCTTCTCCCATACTACCAGCACTATTGAGGTGATATAACATGCTATTGCCAGGACCCAATGAGCTGCTGCTACCTATCAATATGGTAGGCGCAGTTACAGAACCAATCATACCAGTATTGCTACTGCCAGTAGCAGCGTTTATCCCAAGGCCAACACCCACACCTACAGATCCCCCAATCAAAGTGCCACTTAACGCACTTAAACCGCATCGATTATCGCGCTCTGCCTGCAGGCGCTGGGCTCGTTCACGCCGACGTTTCTGTTGGCGTTGCTGTTTTGTGATTAGACTCAGTTGCTGACAACTATTGGAGTTGCTGCTATTGGCGTGGCCGTTTGCAGTTGCTAATAAAGCAGTTTGAACAGGAGTAGACGCTACTGTTGAAGCTGACGATGTTGTCGAGTGGTCTATTGTAGTAGTAATTACTGTTGTGGTTGCCGCTGCTACAACTGATAATTCAGTGTCTGAGTCAAAATCACTTGCACATGGTGCAGGTGCTAGTTGTGCTGGTCCTGTCTGGCCTGAAGAACTATGGGGTGGTGGTGTTGAAGTTGCCCTTATCCCTGCGCTTGAAAAAGAAGCCGGAGCAGGTAGCAAACAGCTCAATAAAGCAGCATCTGAGGACGATTCTGTGACATTTAAATTAGATTTCGGTGGAGGTAGGCTTAAGCCCACAGATGATGTGTTTGATATTCCTATCGTTGCGAGTGCTGAAGTATTGGGAATGTCAACTGGCGTTGGAACAATACTTAGTGGGCTCGCTTCATTTTGCCTTTTATTTTTATTGACACTCACGTCAGCAGAGAGTACAGGAAGAATTTCTTGAACTGATCCTCGTTGTGTTAAAAGATCCACAGACTCCTGTAGCACGTTGCCTTCCGCAAGCGAATTTATTACTGGTTTAGCAGTTTGGTTTGTAGTAGTTACATCCATGTCCAATACGTAGTTTTCGCTGTTTTTTTCTAATTTTTGGTAGGATTGTCACTTCTGCTGCACTATTAACTTTCGATTAAACTTGAACTCTTGCGAGTACAATCAAATTTGTAATAATTCAAAATGAAATCCACGAGGGTGTCCAACGCTGTCATCATATCATGGAATAAATACGCGCTTTCTGTTGCACGGCGAATTTTATTATTTTTATTATTATTTTTGCGATTTATAAGGAAAACAATGGTTTTGTTTTATTTTTTATAAGGAAATTCACATTTAGTTTATCCCATTTTCAACACTCGAACCACAAGAGCTGACCGTTTTTTTCTTTAGACAAATATAAAATAATAA